CTTTTTAAGATATTCTTTTATTAATAAAAGTTAATTATTAGAATTCAATATATATGTTTGCTTACTGAAAACTGATACTTAATAATATATCTGCTTCTTGATATTGTTATCATTTTTATAAATTTTAAGTTTTTAATATGTTATTCATGTGTTTTTATTAACTAAAAAATGGAAAAGACTAAGTTTTTATGATGAAAGAAACTAAAAATTATTACTAAAGATAAGTAATATACAGTTAAAGTTCGATAAACTAAAGATTTCAAATTATTCAAAAATAAATTTTGCTTAATGTTGTAACGATTTGAACTTTGTAAATTCTTAAAATTCTTAGATTTATTCATGTAAAATATCCACTATATCCACTATATTCACTATATCTATTATATCCACTATATCCACTATATCCATTATATCCACTATATCCATTATATCCACTATATCCATTATATCTACTATATCTACTATATCAATGTAATTTGAAAACATATAAATATAAGATGGAATAAAGCTTTAAATATCATCAATTGATCACTACAAAAATCTAGCTAGTCAATAAACTGTCTCTTGTTTATTGTTAATGAAATTTGTACATTAATTGATTTGAATAATTAAATAATACCACATTAATCTTATACTATAAACTTGCATTAATTGCACACTATTGGACAACCGCCAAAGTTGCTATAGAATATCAGTACTGTATTGCTATAGGATTGTCCCACATTAAGTAGACATAATATCTATTAGTAATAGTGAGAGCCTATCCAACCGATAGAAGAAAACGCACTGCATGACGATCCTGAAGTATCAATTACGACGAGATCAAATAACCGTAAAATTATCATCATTAGACGTTGGTTGAATACCTATGTTACGATATTACCCACCGAGAGCCTGATCGTGACAACATTATAAAGTACTATTTATATTATTCTTCATTTTATCAAGTTCTTTGTTAATAGGTTGATTCCTAAAAATTCTTCATTTTAACACAAGTTCACTTTATTGAGAGTTTGCTTTATTGAACTTTAACTATATATTTTTGTTGTGACAAGCTAAAATGATATTTAATAACTTTACTAAACTTTACTAAGTTTTTTTATAATAATTCAAAATAATAAGTCTTCAAATAATTATTTTTTAAGTCAAATATAACAATTGATTATTTAATAATAATTTATCTTTTAAGATCAAAATTAATATTAAATATAACTTTATTAAGTTATTATCAAAGTTTTATCAAATAAAAATTTATTAAATTTTTAACTAAATTATTACAAAGTTATTACCAAGTTAAGTTATTTTAAATTATTAGTTAAATTATATTGCTTTTATAATATTTGATAATTTTATAGATATTACTTTTATTGTGATACTATTGCTACTTTTGCTGAGATCTAATTGTTTGTTTTACTAGTATTATATTGTTATTTTTACTATTATTAAATTGCTAGTTTAGCTAAAATCATATTATTAGTTTAGCTTAGATTTTTTTGCTAACTTTGCTATATCATATTGCTTGTTCTATTATTTAATATTATTATCAGTTTGTAATTTTTGCTGATGAAGATATTTACAAGATAAATAATAGTGATTGTATTTATACAAAAATATAAAATATAAAAGTTTTTCTAAAATACGAGTTTCAATATCAAGTAACAAAGATTGTATTTATAATTTTTACAAGTAGAGCTTTTAACAAGTATTAATAATAATTTAATATATAATAAATTATTATAACAAAAGAAATAAAAGAATTCGATAAGAACAAAAAATAATTAAAATAATCAGCAATTTGATTTATTTTTTATTATTATCAAAATCAAAGATAAATTACAAGATGTTTAATTTTTTATGTTAAATTATATTTATTTAAATATATATTAAAGTAATACAAATCTATAAGCTTTGTAATAATATAAAGAACCAATAAAATAATAAAGTTATAATATACATAACATCAAGAAATAATAAATATAATACAAATTAATCTAAGTATTACAAATAAAATTAGTGAAATATTAATATTATATCAAATAAATTAGATAAATTAATAATTAAAGATAAATTAATAATCAAAATTAAATAGATTAATAATTAGAATCAAGAATCAATAAAATATAATAACTAATAATTAATAAAAATTATGTAATAAATAAATAAAGTAATTAATAATTTATAATATCACTAGATATAAATAAAAGATAATTAAAAATAAATAGATAAATAAATGTTTATAAATAGAAATTAATTAAATATCAATTGGAATCTGATAATATTTCATGTCAAATAATTAAAGAAAATAGTAAATAGTAATAATATAGTCAAACTCCTCTATAGTCATCACTCTCAGGAAAGCAAAATTTGGTGACTATAAAGAGAATGCGATTATAGAGAGATTTTTTTACTATATTTATATATAAATAAGAAAGCAAAATAGTATGACTATAAAGAAGTGTGACTATAAATGAATGTGACTATAGAAAGATTTGACTGTATTAATAAATAAGCTCTCTTTTAGCTAGTGTTCAATAAAATATTATTCAATAATATTATACTAATTATTCAATAAGATATAAAATAATTAATATAATAAAAGTTTATATTATAACAGTATGTACTTATATATTAATCAATCTGTATTATTGAAGATACCTATACAATTTAGAGTTTTACAGGTAATATTTAATATTATTTTGAATTATTACTTAGTTTCTACTGGAAATTTGATCTATCTGTACTATAAATATTCATGTATCAATATATGAATATCTTAAACAAAAATATATTTTTGTTAAGGATTAATAGCTTTTTATACAGACATATTTGTTTATTTGAGCATGAACTTTACTTCTTCATTTTATTGATAGATTCTCAGATTTTTATCATTATTAATTTTCTTATTGTGAACTTGAAAGACAAAAAAAGAATGTTGATGAGTTGATTTTAATTATTTTCAAATTATGTATATTTGACTATAATTCTTGTTAATTTAGAAAAAGACTTTCAAGAAGTTTTAAATCTAACTCAATTTCAAAGGTTAACTTTACTGATTCATTGTAATTCTTTATATTTCAAAATTACTCAGTAATGAACTCTTATATCTTATCCAAACTAAATAGAAATTTATCAAGATCATTATTATATCAATTATTCTGAATGCTATTATTATTTTCCTGTAAAGTATCTGATGATTGATTTTTAAGAATATTATAATTTTCAAATACTTTCAAGATCTATATATATATTATTAGAATTGCTATTGAGATGAAAAAACTGGTACTGTCAGAATTGTTGTTGAGATAAGAAAAGCTGATACTGCTAAAATTACTATTTGTTCAAAAAAGTATGATACTAATACTTGATATTAATGTATTTTGATTGCTTTTACTTTCTTTCTAAAGATCAAATTTGTTTCTTGTCACTTTTTCTTGCATTTATTATAGTATTGATTACAAGTTGAGTATTCATACTGTGGATTATTGTTATGAGAATAACAGAAGTCTATCTTCTTTTTTGTAATAATAAAGTAAGAGGATTTTTTTCATCAGTATTTTGATTAAAAATTTCTAAAATGAATAATTTATATTTATTATAGGTAATTATGCTTTATTTATTATATTTTATAAGCCAACAAATTGATCTTTTAATTTTATATTATAATTAATAACATAAAGAATCATGGTATTCAAAAAATAATAATTGGTTAAAATACTAATTCTTCTAGCTCAATGAAATATATGTATAATTGATACCTTTATTTTTAGTTATTTTATATATTATGTATTAATATTATTATGATATGAATATTTAATTTTTAGTTTATTGATTAATTCATATCATAAATTTAATTAAATAATATTTTAGTATTATATTATTGAACAATCATATTTATAATTAGTATTTGAAATTTGAAAATCTATTTGAATTTCAATTAGAAATTCAATTAGAATTTTGATTTGAATTTCAGTTTGAATTTTGATTTGAATTTCTATTCAAATTTTGATTTGAATTTCTATTCGAATTTTAGTTCAAAATTCAATTCAATCTATAATTTTATTGAACAATTAGTTTTTATAATTTATTTATAAATATAGTATGTATTTTAGTTAGTAAAAAAAATAAAAAAACTAATAAACTAATAAATGAATTAATTAATTAATAAATTAATCAATCAATCAATTAATCAAGAATAATCAATAACAATTAAACATATAATAAATCAATAATAAATTCATCCATTAATAAAATTATATATATTTATTATTATATTATGATCTTATAATGAAACTACACATTTATCATATAACAAACACTCACAACATAAATTCCAGATCTCATTCTAGCAAACCATGTCATAAACATACTGTTATCATCATTCTAGACTTATTATAATAATAATATAATGCTTGAAGCATTATATTTGATTATACCATCTATACTTTCCCACCCGTCATTATTAATATACATTATCATAATTACCCTGGTTAAATAACCTATTATAACATTATAGACTCTCCCCTACATAACTTCAAGACAATCTAGAATGATAACAATACAATAATAATTTTGCAAAATGGTAACGAAATGCAATTCTGTGACCTACAAGTCACAAATGTAAGGTATTTAGTAGGGGGTGATTTGCTTGACCATGTGCTTTTGCACTTTGCGTGGATCCCTGTACACCATTGCATCAAAGACAGGAGCTAATAGTTGGAGCTGATGTGTGCATTTATGCGAAAAATCATTAATGATTTATGAGTTTTATTTGGTAAATGTAATTCTTTATTAATATGTTCCTTTGCATTTGGACAAAATTCTCACTCTTATAATGAACAATAAAATTTATTATATTAGACTTGGCATAATGATAAATACTAGATATACATGCATTTAGACCAGTAGCTCGGGGATCGGATAAGATTTACATCACGTGATCGACACACTAATTATAAACAAATTTAGTAATTGGGTATTAATGATATACATTATAATACGCGATGCAGAACTCTATGAGTATAGACGAAATCACCGAAATGCTTGCAGAGAGCACAGTCTCTAAAATTCGAAAAGATTACCGTCAAATTTCTCACAAAGCCTCTCCATTAATGAAACTAAGCCAATGCGAAACACAAGAAGAAAGACGTAAAAGAGCTTTGGAAGAACAGCAAAAGGTAAAAGAAATTTGACTGATAATACGCGAGTCAAAAGATCAAATATATTAACAAAAGCTTTTCTTTTAATCTATAAGCGGCGGCGAGATTTCACCGATCATGCTCGCAATTTAGCACTTTATAGACCTTCGGAAACTTCTTCGGACGAAGATCTTGAAGATGTTTCTACGCCAGTAGAAACATCCGAATCACAAGAAATGATGGATCATGAAATGATTGTTACCGAAACAGTTAAAAATAAAAATAAAAAAACCAAAAAAAATACAAGACGAAAGCCCAAAGCAAAAAACCCACACAGGTATTTAATAAGATGTCGTTTAAACATAACCTATAATATATTTCTAGCAATTTTATAATTACAGAAATCAAATAATGTACGCCGAGTGCATGGAAGACATACCAAATGACTTGGAAGTTAACTGGTATGTGGTGATGTGTCCTGCTGGTAAACGACGTCTGGTGATTACCTCGAAAGGTAAGCAGAATTTTCTAGGCTTTAATCATCATATTCCAAATAGTAAATAAAGGCAATTGATTCAATGAATGACTTTTACTATTAGGAAAAACTGTAAGCAGATCAAGAAGTGGTAAGATTTATTAGTCGGGTTTTTCTTTCTAACATATTTTGCTTGTTGCTCTATATAGTATTTTTTTTTTCTCAAAAAGGACATGTAATAAGTGTATTCGAGTCGGTATTACCAGCCGGATCCAGTGTCTATAAGGGAAACAAGACAAATGATTATTGTATTTTGGATTGTATCTTTGATGAAACTTCCTCGACATATTATATCTTGGATTTGATGTGCTGGAAAGGACATCCCATATATGATTGTGATACAGAATTCAGGTATTTGATTATTCATAATAATTAATTTATAATTAATGATTCTTAACGAAATATTTCAATATAAAAATTCATTAGATTTTACTGGTTACACTCAAAATTCGCTGAAATCGATGATTCAGCATCTACAAATACATCAATAACACCGACCGTTACATTCAAACCATTGACTATCCATTATTGTAGCCGTGAACAACTTTCGACTATAATGTCAGATCTTGGTCAATTTGGATATCAACCAGATGGTTTATTGTTTTTCAATAAAAAAACACAATATGTAATCGGAGATACACCATTGTGCGGATGGGTTGCTTTAGGAAAAATCTTTGAAGTTTTTGGTGATCTTGGAGTTCCTTTGTTGAATAATGAATTATGATTAATTGGTAGTGCTTTTTATTTTATTTATCTAACACCTAAGATGATTATTTAGGAGTTTTTTATATTGAAAATGTTCTAATCTATAATTCCCATTAAAAATTGATGATTGTTGTGTTATTGTATTTAGTACATTAGTTGAAGGATACACTTTTCAATCAATCGATCGGTGCCAGCATTTTCAACTTGTCAATTAATTTACTCTGCATCACTATTTAAAATATTGGGCAAATAGTGATAAGCAATAAACTATCAAGGCTAAGAAATATCCTTTTTTTAGAGTTGTTTTTTTTTTTGTTTATTGGTGTTTCAGGTTAGTGTGTGTGCTCAAATTCTAATAGCAGCGGGAAGGACATTCCCAATATTAGAGTGACAATATGTTGACCTGATAATTTTCCGGGACCGTTGTTGACATCTTGCATTACATGCATCGCCACATATAGAAAAGTGCCTCCAGAAAAAAGCAACAAGATTGCAGTCCACCATTGCATACTATTCGGATTTAGTTGAGCTCTACTTTGCAGTAGCATAAAAGTTATAATAGCTGTCAAAGGAGCGGACATTGAAAAAATTGCTACATGTTTCCGGATTCTTTGACGACTGTAACCCTCGCGGAGAAGAATCGTGCAAAGTCCAAAGGCAGAAGGTGCTTTATGCAGCATAATTGCCAGAAAAACTATAAATTCGATAGTAGGTTGATTTGCTGATGCTCCGAGAGCGATGCCATCTGCAGCTGCATGAATAACCAGTCCGATAGTCATAGAATGCGATTTAATCTTTGCTGGGAAATTACCGGTCATATTATTAATATGTATATCCTTGTCACGATCATCTTCGATTCCAATATTGTCCTCTGCAAAAGCATTCATTTCAGTATATTCAACCGTGTCAAGACGACTTGGAGATTGCTCATGAAAGGTGTCAATTTGATCAATTAAAAACATCAATATGTATCCTGATATTAAAGCTATTCCTATATAACGATGAGCAAGATTTTCTTTATCATTGTCACCATCAATTTGTGAGGGTGGCGCAATAGAATCCACTTCATTGTTTGATGGTTTTTCAAACTCGCTCAGTGATTCTTGTCGTCTATTATTTCTGTTTGTATTTGATATATCATATATTTTATATCCAGTAAGATCGAATTCTGGAAGAATATTCCGTCTTTCTACAGGAGTATCTTCGATCGGATTTGTATTATAATTCGGAAATATTTCTATATTATTTCTGGGCACACTATACAAGGTTTCGATACCCTCAGGGATAATCACTATTAGAGATGTTCCAACTAGTAAACCAATTCCAAATAATGATATAGATTTTAACCATTTGTCTGAAGGCGAGAAAAATAGTGGCATAATACCAACAAGAAAAGATCCGACCAGCATCGTTATACTGAGAAGAAAGAACGATAAAAATGCGTCCATTTTAAAGGGTTATATATATATAGTAAATAAACGGATATTTTATTTGATAGATTAACGCGTATTGAAATTATGTATTCATATGTATTAAATACGGTCTATATATTGTATTCGAGAAAACACAAAATAACGAAATATTCTTGGGTTCTGTTAAAGCGAACTTCTTAAGCTGATCCATAATGAAAAAAATAATGATGCATACAATTTGGTTAAAATTTCCGAAATCACATGAAAGAAAGGTATAGTTGTCTCTATATTAGGCAGATTTTTTTCCTCCTCCCTCTTTTAAAAATTAGTAACCATCAATACTTGATTTGGTATTGATATACAACTGAAATTTGGCCGGTGGCGCAGCAATTGTGGTGACTAAGTGACCTGCACTGTATATAAAGTATTTTCGTGTTTTTGTTTACTCGAAAAATGTCGACTTTTGGTGGAGGTATAAAAAGTTTTTTGTCTCATTAGATAAACAATAATATTTAATTCTATAATTATTTCAAAAAGACGAAGTTTCTGCTATAGTGCTTGACGTTGGTTCTTGTTGGACTCGTGCTGGTTACGCAGGCGAGGACTCGCCGAAAACCGTGTTTCCCACATATTACGGATATATACCGGAAAACAGAGTTATTAATAAGTCAAAACTCGGCGCGAGTGATCTTGGAGGGGGAGAAGGCTCACAACAAGTTGAGAAAAAAACAGAAAAATATGTAATGGGAGATAGTGAAATATCTGTATGGCGAGAATATATGGAAATTAGAAATCCATTAAAAGATGGATTGAGTAAGTTTTTTAATGTAGTTGCTCGTTACAATCAAACAAAAAACATGAAATATTAAGGATAGTCTGATTTATTTAGTTCAGGATTGGGACGCGTTAGAACATATCTGGGATTACGCGTTAAGTAAACGATTATCCGTTAATCCTGTAGAACATCCATTGTTGGTGACCGAAGCAGCTTGGAGTACTAGAGAAATACGGGAGACTCTTACTGAACTTGCTTTTGAAAAATACAATTGTTTGGCATTCTATACTGTAAAAAACCCGGTTCTTACTGCGTATCCTTTTTCCATTTACTCACGCACATATACATATACATATACATATGAACAAAAGTAACATATATTAAGCATTAGGTTCTACCTTAACTTTTGCATATAATTAATCTTAGATTTGCTTCAGGACGTCCAACGGCAATTGTATTAGATTCTGGTGCAGCGACCACAAGCGTAGTTCCAGTTTTTGATGGATATGTACTAAAAAAAGGTTTGTTGATTTGTGATTTTCTTGTCGTACATTTTTACTTACATTTATATATTCATGCCTGTATTAACTTTATCACTAGGAATGCAAAGATCGCCAATTGCTGGGGATTTCTTGTCTGATCAAATTTTACGACAATTCGAACAACAAAAGATTACTCTTAATCCACAATATCTAGTTGCCAATAAATCCTTTACAGAACCTGATACACCAGCCGTATTCACTAAACGTGATCGTTCAAATACCACTGATAGTTTTCATAGATTTCAGGCTATGGTAAATTTGGTTTATTATTATTGAATTATTTGGCAATTTAATAATTTCCAAAATATTTCTTAGTAGTGTTTGGTTAACAAAAATAGAAAGTAATACATGAATATAAGGAAACTGTTTGTCAAGTTTTTGAATCGACTTATAACGAGGCGTAAGTAATTCTCAATATTTAAATTTTTTTAAATGTAACATTAAGCCTTTTTTTTTGTTATGTCTACAGTATAATTGCATCAAGACCAATGAAATCCTTTGAATTTCCTGATGGATTTAATACATCATTTGGTCCAGAAAGATATAAAGTTCCTGAAATTCTATTTCGACCACCAGAATTTACAATACAGGTTCGGTGATATTATCCTTATTAAAATCTAATGTATACAGTTTAATTGACTGATTAATAATAATTGAAACTTCTTTTCGAAATATTGAGCCTCAAGAAACAGGAGTTGACGTAGGATCATATGTTGGAATACCGGGTATGATATATAATTGCCTAGCCACGTGTGATGTTGATATGCGAGCAAATTTTCTGGCGAATCTTGTCTGCACCGGCGGAAGCACATTATTCCCGAATTTCATTGATCGCGTATATCAAGAGTTGAATCCTTCGTTTCCAGGGGTAAGTAATAATACCGTATTGTTGATTATAAGATACGATCGTGTTGTTTTTTTTATCTTAACTATTTTATTTTTGTATAGCATCGTGTTAAAATACATGCACCCGTTAATAGTGTCGAAAGAAAATGTAGTGCATGGTTGGGTGGTTCAATACTCGCTTCTCTTGGGACATTTCATCAACTTTGGATATCAAGAAAAGAATACGATGATCATGGTAAAGTAATTGTAGAAAAAAAATGCGAATAATTTGCGTGGATTCAACATGTATAGATCAGCGTTTATTATTAACAATAAAAAATAAAGAAATTGTGAGAAAAGGTGAATGTTTTATTAAAATAACGTACGATCTGTCCACGCATCATAATAGAACAAACGCATAAATAAAAATCTAAAATTATTACTACTATAATACAAATACAAAAAAAATCTATCCAAGAATATTATAATAATAATTAATGATTCTTTATCATAAGAGATCATCTTCGTCATCGGAAACCGCAGAGAAAGCGTTATTGGATGCTGATTCAAAGTCTATTGATATGCTTGGAGGTCGAACATCAGAAAAATCAATTCTAGCATTTCGAGCTGATCTATTCTTTTTATTCCTAAATACATGAAAAGAATTCGTGTCAACAAATACTAATAATGTCAAAGAAGAATGAATTTTGACATACTTTCTCAAAATTACAATCAATCTACAAAACTGAACTAAATTTCTAGCCACAAGTAAAAATGTATCCAACAGCTCCTCTGATTTCCAACCGGATGAACAGCCACCCACCAGAATGAAGATCAAAGTTAAAACACAGAGACATACAAGAATTATATCCACAATATTATAAATAGATTTCCAAAATAACTATCAAATTTTTTTTGAATTAGTGATAAATTAATAATCGGAGTAAAATAACAAATCAAGGAAATATCGAAATACTTGTTTTAACGCGAAAAACCGCGTTGTTACTTCAGCGATCATGGCAAAATTAATTATAACCTCCAAAATGATAAACCATATCGAAGGGCTATCGAAGTAAAAGATTTGGTGAATTGTCTCGAATTGCATAAACGATATACACACATCACTTACCATTTTTCTTTAATCGACTGTCAAGCAAATAGAAATGACATAATTAATATTCGAAGAATTAAATATTCACAGCCGCTGCCACCCTCCCTCCGTAATTAATAAATACCAATACTATCGACACTGCACAAAGTGCTGCCATTCCCAAATATAGCCAAGTGTAAAATCTCGAATAAAGAATACGATTAGCTAAGCCATGCACAATTTCCGCTCGTGTTAACTTATGCTGAGTTGTAAGAAGGTTTCCTCCTCTGTCATTTCCATTCAGACTACAATTGAAAAAATATTATGTTAGCCGTTCTATCTATGATAATTATAAAAGTTGGTAAATATAAAAATCTTTTTTACGGCGAGTGTTCAGAATTATTGATAATTGATCCGGAAGCAGAAGTATTATTATTCAAAGATGCCATATTTTAACGGTTATTCCTTTAACGTTTTCGAGATAAGCTATAACAATAGATAAATATCTATTTCTTAAAATTCACGTGGGTGGGTGGTCCTTTGTGCAATAGAAAATTGACCATTTTAATTGATGTCATTGTGCAATCACAACCATAGCTTTATTTGAAGTTTACTTTTTTCGTAGTTTAAATGATCAATATGCATGCATTGTGCACACTAAACAAAAACAGGTTACCTGAATTTCTTGGCAATTATGACACGTAAAAAGACGCCTCACCCCGTTCATTTTATTGCTTCAAAGGTTTTTCTGATAAATATCTTCATTGCTTATTCTCGCTCAAGAAATGGTTTTTCTTAGCAACGCAATTTCGGCTTCTCGCTTATCGGATTCCGAACAAACTGACGTTCAGGTATATTTCACACTGCCAACTTATATGGTGCTTGAAAAGTACAGTCACATTCCTCTAAATGCAAGCCCTATAAATGCATATCCTATAAATGCATAACTCCTTTAAGTGCATGTTTTTTGATAATGGGACTTGTATGCTTACTGCATATTTCCTCTAAATGCATACTATAATATTAAATGCATTCAAAGGAATGATGATAATTTTGTAATTCATTCAATTTATTTTCTTAGAAGGGCTTTTCTAGTACAATTTATGGGACTCGTTGGTCCATTGAGCCAATTCCAAGGTAATTTGTTTAATAATTAAAAAACATGCTTTTCTCAATTGCTAAATGATTATATTCTTTTGTTAATTAATCACGTAGATTTGAGTTGCCAAAAGATGAAATGCCGGCGAATGTAAGCATTTCATAATTGACTTTTAACTAAACAATGCTAATAAATATTAATTGTATTGTTAACCTAACCAGGTTGCCTATAGATTTATAAAAGATGAATTAGCGGTAAATTCCGTAGTTTCGGTTGCAGTTTTGTTGTGTGTGTGTGTTTATTTAGTTTAAGTTTTCCTTCCATATAAAAACATAATAAATAATTAGCTTGATGGTAATCCGCTTCTGAACCTTGCCTCATTCGTCACCACTTATATGGAGGATGAAGCAGAGAAATTGATGGCGGAAAATCTATCAAAAAATTTTATTGACTATGAGGAATATCCAGTGTCTGCCGAATTACAAGTAATAATCATATATTATATATACATATATATTGCAACATTTTCTTTTTTGATTTATTTTGTGTTCTTTTTTTCCAGAATCGTTGCGTTAACATTATCGCGCGTCTTTTTAACGCGCCATTGGATAAACCGGAAGCCGAAGCAATGGGTGTCTCAACCGTGGGATCATCCGAAGCGATCATGTTGGCCGTGTTAGCAATGAAGAAACGATGGCAAGGAAAAAGACGCGCCGAAGGAAAATCCACAGAGAATCCAAATCTAATTATGGGTGCTAATGTTCAAGTGTGTTGGGAAAAGGGTATTTTGTTTATTTCTCTATAATGATAATTATATTAGTTACTTTAGTTACATTATGATTATTGTAATTTTTTAGCTTGTCGATATTTGGAGGTTGATGAACGATATGTTTATTGCACAGAGAAGATGTTCGTTTTGACCCCTGAAAAGGCTGTTGAATTGGTGGATGAGAACACTATTGGGATTTGCGCTATATTAGGGTACTATTTCAAATTCATAAAGTTAAAATTCGTGTTCCATGCAAGAAATTTTTACCAGAGACACCGATTGGGTATCTATACCGTTAAAATCTAAAAGACAGATACGATTTAAAATGAGATCTCAAATTCAGTTCAGGATTCTTTTGCAGATATACTATTATCAATGTTACATGGAACACGAATTAAACAATTGTTTTATCATTATAAGATATTTTCACATCTCTGTTAAATAATAGATCAACTTATACTGGTCATTATGAAGACGTAAAAACTTTGAATGATCTTCTCGTCGAGAAAAATGAAGCAAACAATTTGGATGTTCCAATTCATGTCGATGCAGCGTCTGGCGGATTTGTTGCTCCCTTCGTATGTCCAGATTTGGAGTGGGATTTTAGGTAAACTGTCAAATTCCAGAAAAAATCAATTAATAAATTAAGATTTCAAAAAAAATAATGCTTTATTACCTAAAAGACTTCCTTTAGTCCGTTCAATTAATGTATCTGGACACAAGTATGGCCTGTGTTATGCTGGTATCGGATGGGCGATCTGGAGATCAGCCGAATATTTACCCAAAGAATTGATTTTCAATATCAATTACCTGGGATCTGATCAGGTATAGTAATAAGTAGCGAGCAACTTTATTCATTCTTTTCATATTTTAACTGCTATAACAATTTAAATTTATTAGGCTTCGTTCACTTTGAATTTTTCTAAAAGTGCAGCACACGTGATTGCTCAATATTATGTGTTAATTCGACTTGGACGAAAAGGTTTTACATCAATTATGCACAATATTACAAATACAGCTGATCATTTGATTGAACGCTTGGAGAAAACCGGTAGATTCGAAATATTAAGTGAACGAGGTGGAAGAGGTTTGCCATTGGTAGCTTTTCGATTAAAAAAAGAATATCATTATAACGAGGTATTTATTATCTTTTCTCATATCTATATCTTAAATTCTCACTTCTAACAATGCAATGCAATTTGAATATATTTGTATAGTTTGATATTGCCAACCGTCTTCGAGAACATGGATGGATCGTGCCAGCGTATACAATGGCCCCGCATGCAGAACACATTAAATTAATAAGAGTAGTTGTACGTGAAGATTTTACACTCCACAGATGTGATGATTTCATTAGAGATTTATTAAACACTTTATCTCTTTTGGACAAATTGGATGCCAAAAGCATAGCAGTAAAACGTACCGCAGGACAACGTTGGACGCTGTTAAAAAATGTTACTCTTGCATTTAAAGGTCATAAAGACGCATCCTTCAAGCAGAATAGTATATGTTAACGAAAACACAAAATAATTGTTTATTTACTTATTATATTTTCTTACCGATTTGTTATTTCTATTTATTTATTACAATTCCTCACGTTTAATCGTTTCTTGGTCTATTCCAGATGTTTCTGATGTGTGTTGGGTCGGCTGTGTTATAAATGTAGTGCTAGAAGTGTCTTTTAAAGTTGTAGCTTCACTAACTGATACATTACTACTACTAGAATCTTTTTCACTTTGTGAGGGTATAATCGTCGCTGTCTCTGATGAAGCAGTGGTGACAGCTTTTGGCTTTTTGGGCGGTTTTTTATTCAGCAATCTCAGAAATTCGTTGTAAATCTCCTGTGCTTTGTTATTTACGTCCATCACACGGAATACAGGATCAGCATAAAGTGAAATTTTCTCTTGTTTGTCAATAGCCTCATTAAGCCAAGTTTCAATTTGATTGCATAAATTAGATAAAGACTCAAGCTCTTGATCTGAATGATATTGATTTTCGATAGAGGTATTGGTTCGAATGTTTTTTACAAATTCCTGAGCAATTTTTATCGTGTCTCGAAGATAAGACACAGCTGCTGGGCGTCGATGATGTTCTTCACGACGAAAAGCGAGCGGCTTTTCAAGCGATCTAAAACAAAGCAATTTTATTATCAACCTCAATATTCAAGTTTAGCTTGGAGAAATAACCCATGCTTACTTTAAGTGATCAAGTCTTCCCCTAAATTCATTTATTGAGGCATGTTCACCACCTTCATATATCCAATCGGAAACCTCGGATAATTGTGACGAGAAAAATTTTCGTTCATCGCTGGTGGTTACTTTAATGGTACTATCGTCATTGAGAAAATCTTGTGCACGGTAGACAAAAGACTCTAAATTATTTCGTGCTTCTTCGAGAGTACGTTTCTCATGATCAAATCGATCCATCATTCTTAAACTTTTTAATGTATGGGTAGAAAGGATGGGATATTTGCTCAATAAAGAAAAGATCATTAAATTAAAGATTAAAAGGAAATAGTCAACATATTTACCGATCAAAGGCGTCTCTTTTCACGTTTTCGCTCATGGGAGGGATCCCAAGATATTGCACATCAAGTTTTAATTTTATTGTTTCTGTCTTAGTTTCTTTAGTAGCTGGCTCTGTCTCGTTGCTGGCAGTGTCATTGTCGGTTGATGGCGATGGAGTTGATGAATTTTCACTTTGCTTAGTTTCCTATATTGAACAATTCTATAAGTTTTCCAGTTCTAGATTTTTAAAAACTAAGGCGATAGATATTGTTACCTCAGGAATAGGTGCATCTTTAATTGACTCTTCAGTGGTATTTGTATTCACTCCGAAAAATGATTTAACCTTATCTAAAAAAAAAAAGCCATGCAATATTTTTAAATTCTTACTTTGGTGACAAATTAGATTGCTTGATTTATTCAATTGCTACATACCAGCTAATGAAGTTTGTTCGGTGGCGATAGTTGCGATGGCATCAGTAGCAGATACAATGCCGGAATCCGATAACTGAATGGTCACCTTAACTTTTGGTCGCTCAACACTTACATCCTTGAATTTTTCAATTGCTTCTGATAATCCATTGACTTGAGCTATCACAATCTCCTTTGGTCCAAAATCAGTGTCCATCTCTTGCACAAATTGTCCATAGTTTAATCCGAATTCAAAATCGGTGGTACGTTTAAATGTCATTATTTTTCGAGTTCCGATTGGTGATAAAGAGTTGAATAAATTCGTTCGGAAACTTTTGCTTTTTATTGTCCCTATAATAAGTATAAATCAAATATTTATAAAAAATTTCTAAAATGATCGAGTGCAAACGAATTTGTTTGATCAAGTGCATACCATCTTCCGTCTCTTTGGGATCCATAGTGTATTCAACTTCAATGGGATAAATAATAAGATCTTTTACTTTAATTTCTTTGACTTTGAATTGTCCACTTAATCCTGCACCTCTAAATACAGCTCCCAATGCTGCGGCCTCGTCTCCATTAACATTTTTAGCGATTTTATCTCTAAATATAAAATCAATTCGTTAAGTCTCGATTGATGTAATAACTGATTAAATATGATCTATGTAAATAACATACTCTCCCAATATGGATGATAGAACTGCCTGAACAGCAGGAATGCGTACACCGCCACCAACCAATACCAATGACTTGATATCTTCCTATTAATTAATATAAAAAGCAATCACATAAAAATGAAAACATTAATTCGCACTTGTCTTTTAATCCTTACCTTGGAAATGATTGTTTTGCTGAGCGCGTCATCAATGGGGCCACTAACACGTTTTAAAAGGTCATCAGAAAGAGTTTCGAGTTCCCTTCTTGTTACAGGTAACCGAAAATCAAATTCTTCATGCAAATTTTCAATCTATAAAAAATTCATTTGAAATTTTGAAAGATTTAAAAAAATCGATTTTCTATAGTACTGCAACGAATAATTACCGAGGCGATAGTTTCTGTATTCGCACTCAAAATTTGTTTTACGCGATTCGCCTCCTTGAGCAATTTAACCATTGCACGTTCCGACGTAAATATCGAACTTTTTATTTTTCCTTTATACAATCTATCAAATCCATTCGCTAAATGTTTTTGTAGACGAAGATCAAATGCTTGACCACCTAAAGTTCTATCAAATCCAACTGATTTCACTTCTAATTGAATTATTGTTTTGTTGAAGCGTCCCACATCCTTTATATTCGCGGTGTTGAAGCTAATAAGACTTGCTACAGTGCTGCCGGCACCCATATCGAAAAAAATATGATACTGTGGCTCATTTGTGAATGAAGAAAAATGACTAATGGCATAATTAATTGCAACTATTATAAGAATAAGAATGAAATATAATTATAAACATGATGGATATAAAAAGAGGGAAAAAAGACGAGATAGAATATAACAATCACCAGCAGTTTCATCATGAATTAATGAAATTACATTTAGTCCAGCTAAATCAGCGGCATCAAGAATTGCGCGTCTTTCGGATTGAGTAAAAAATGGGGGAACCTTTTATATAAAAGTTTAAATATTTATTATTCGTTTGATGCAACTAACCATTTATTAATAATAATTTTCCGTACCGTGATTACAGCATCCCGTAAAGATTCTTGAGCTGTAGCTTCTGCTTGCTCTTTGGCGTGTGCAAATTGCATTGCCACAAGCTCTTCAACAGAAAAAACATTATCATTTATTTTAAATGTGACAGAATTTCGCGAAGGATCGCGAAGCATTTCATTTGGATAAATCGATCGATATTCATTTGCGTATTTATCATCAAAGGAACGACCGAGAATTCTTTTCAGGCTAAAAAATGTATTTCTAGGAAACCGAGCTGCCTAAAGAACATAAAAATTACCGATAACTAAAATAGAAAATACTTCAAGAGCGAAATATATTTAATTACTTACAAGGTTAACCGAGTCAGAACCATAAACCCTTTCATTTTCCCGAATATTCAATGTCGACTGAGTTTTACGTTTAGAATCTCTATTGAGAACAATTTCCATTGGCACACCTGGCTTTACTAAAGCTACTTTAAACCATTCCGTTCCATAGTCAATGGAAAGTACTGCAGCTTCACAATGTAAGCTCGAATAAAGTGATAATATAATAAAAGCCCCGACAATTATTATTAATTTGCTGAAAAACATCTTTATTAAAAAGAACAAATTTTCTCAAAAAATTTGAATAAATATCAACAATGAGTGTAACAACCAACATTTGTCATAATTTCATTTGACAGGAGTGTGATCGCCTTACAAGAAGCAAATTGAATTTGTTGTTCTTGAAATACTTATATCTACAATGGAAATTGACCGAATACTTTACGACATTGACGTCGTTGCTGTTTGGAAACCAGACGACGAAATTGCCACGGATCAAGAAAACAGTGCAAATTCACATTTAAGCCTTTTCAAGAATGCAGAAGGTGAAGACCCTTCATACTCGCAACTACCAAGACGTGTCTTTAAACAATTCACCCATCGGCTAGTACGTAGCTTAGAAGGTCTCACAATTTCCACGACTGTTCCTCCAGCGCTTTTACAAGCTTTACCTAAAGTAATGAGCGAATGGTGTATGCAACTTTCACCAAATGGTGAATGCCTGGCAGTGCTGCAGGAACATAAAATAGAATTTCGTTCAGTTAAAAAAGGCTTTGAAACAGTTCACTCGATATACAAGTACACAGTAAAACGTGACACTTTTCCAAAGTGGAGACGCGTTGCTTGGAGTTTAGACTCGAAAATTGTCGCAGCCTCTCGTAGTGATGGGACAGTTGATATTGTTGATACGGAAGGAGATTTGGTGTGCACCATTCTACCGACTTCTAAAACATCCAGCTTACCTCGGCCTTTGAATATTAGCTCATATGAAAATGGATCGGAAGAACAAAGTGGTTCTAGTTTTTTCCTGGAGCCCGTTGCTTTTTTGGCTTTTATTGATCCTAAGCGAGGTCAAAAACAAAGCAACTTTAAAGGCTATATATACCAATACGAGTTAATAGTTGTGACATATGATGGAATACTGCGTAGTTATTTACTGAATACTTCGGATCCCGCTGCAAAAATTGATTCTTCTTTGCGTCGATCGCGTACAAGATTATCTTATTCGCGAGAGAGTGCAGAAGATCCAGGCTTATTCATGCATTATCATAAATTTTCATTTAAGAAATGGCTTTCAACTGTTGTTTGTGGCGTAGTTGATAGTAATTGCAAATTTATGTGTCTTGGAGGTAAACCTGACAGTTCAATTGTAGAAGAGGGCGGTGATGTAAAATATTCTTCGGTTGCGTGTTGGCTATTATTGCCTGATCGACCATATTACCGAAAACTAGATCTAGAAGAAACAAATCAAAAGCCAATTGATAATTTGGCACAATTGAATGAAGAGGGCTCTATTGATGACACTGGATATTTCTCTCGAATAAAAAACATCTTCTCTACATGGCGAAAAGTAAATAAAAAGTTTACCCATGAAATAGTTCAGCGGATGATTTTATCTCCTGATCAGACTTCTTTATTGACATTGGATTTCTCTGGCACCGTAAATCTATGGAATATCTCATTAAACCGAGGCATCGAATCGCAAAAATCATGGAATCAAGATGAACTTAACTATTTTGCGAGAGGAAAAGAATTCCGTGATCTTTCATTTGAGCAATTCACCGATAAAATTGAAGATTTTGAAGAAGAGGGTGGCTCAATCGCGGGAATCAATGGATTAGATAATGGAAAAGTGGTCTCGATTGGTTGGTGGTCGAATAACGCGATCATAATTGGTTATCAACATGGTTCCTTGATAATCGCTAGTTATCCCGAAATGAATAATATATTTGGTGAATCGCCAGAGGTATTCAAATCATGTCGTGAGATTACTAGTCAAAGAGATAATCGGTTTCTAGTAATTGAACATGAAAATAAAACAATTCGCGCTAGGGTTCATGGAGACAACCTTATATCTTACTCGAGAGCACAAGAGGAAGGAGACATGGACGAAGAATTCGCAGACGAAAAATCACCGATGCGTAAATTGCTATCAGCAATTGGAAATTCAATGCACTATGTTACTGATACATTTCTTTGGCATTTTGAAAATGATGCTTCTTCTTTGCGCGGTAAATTTGTAACAATCTCCAAACGAACTCTCCGTCTAAATCGAATCTCGAAAATTCTGCCCGAGGATTTGCTCTATCGCAAGATACTTGCACTTGAATATGATGACGCGTTAGTGATTGCAGAAACTTATAACCTTAATACAGACACAATTTATCAGGCGCGATGGCGGGACGCAGAGATTTCAGAAAGGGCGATTCATGAATATCTTGATAAAGTTAATGATCGTCAATGGGTTCTTGCCTCTTGTCTGGAACGAATTCCTGATTCTCGAGAACCTGCTGAAATGTTATTAAATTATGCTTTTAAAATGTCTGACATCTTAGAAACAATGCTCGATTCATCGTCAGCTATTTCTACGAATTATAATCCTAACGTCTTAGCAAAAACATTAAGAGAGAAACCACTTGATTGCGATGCTTGGATTGAGGAAATGCTAAAAGCCATGAATTTTTCAGAACAATACTTAAATATATGTAGATATAGATATTATGCATTGAAATATTTAGATCGATTGCGTACATTTGACGATATCATAAAAATAAAAACTAATAGAAATGAAAATTCTAAATCAAAGGAAATTGCTATAGAAGAAGATACTACTTTGACTTTTACCGACTATTCTTTGACTTTTGCCGATGATTATGGTTTATTCCGTGATGTAAGCATTGCAGCACAAGCAATGGACTTTGCGACAGATGAATTCTTTGAAGGGTTACAAATATTGTTCACCAGACATGGACCAGAGACATTACCTTATCGATTTGACATTCTTGAACAAATACCCGAAACATCTGATCCAGATGCCTATGAAAATCTTTTACCTAAGGTAAAGAATTCGGATGACGACGAGAACACTTCATCAGAGTGTTTATGGGATGAGAAACCATGGCGTGAGCCGGATTGGGTTGAGAATCCTATCTTGAAAAGTCTTATACTAAGACATGATGAATTAGAGGCATGGGATTTTGAAGGAATTGTTTTGAAGAAAGTTCCTTATCCTGCTTTGTCATCTCATATAACAAATTGGTATTATAATCGCGCGCATAAGATTGATTGTATGTCTGGACAAGTAGACAAAGCTCTCAAACTTGTTCGTCATGGTATTCATAAAAATGTTCGGAATCTCGAGACTTTGGAAGAAGATTTGCACATGTTGGCTAAACTTGTGTATAATTGCTACCCTGCCTCGGATCCTATCAGTATTTCTATGACTCTTCTCGAATGGGAGTCTTTTTCCGAGGCAGAAATTGTGCAAACATTTCTTAGACAGACAGATGAAACACGTATTGTTAATGATGTAAAGCAGTTTGTTATACCATTTTTGCAATTATTACCTTCACGTCGTGCTCGTGAAATATACGAGAATATCGAAGAGAATAACTTCTTGAAGACACAACCCTTGGATCTTTTATATGATTACATACTGACACTTTCAGAGAATCGGTTGGATTTGTGTTGTCTTATATTTGAAGCATCAAAGCCCATTTTGGATACTGCTGATCGTATTATTACTTCTGATACAGATTTATCCAGAATAGCGCTTTCTTGTCTATATGGTAGTGAAAGTACTGATCAATGGGAAAATATGACGCGTATTTTTGAATGCTTGCCTATTTTTGATGCCGATGCAACTGACGACTCAAATATGAAGTTTGAGATTGTATTATCTCAAAAATCGACACCAATCTACTTTTATGATATATTTAAAACAAAGAATGAGAAAGAACTACAACGCATTATTGATTTCCTTGAAATACATTTAAATGCTGCGGAAATTCTTTCACGTTATGATGATCCAGTTCCATTGCAATGGTTCCTACAGAGCGCGGATGATTATAACTTACAAAAGCAGCTTTGTATTAGACTCGTACGCAAAGCAAGTGGAGGACCTGAAACAGGCGGTGAAAGATTTGAGAGTGAAGATGAATGGGCATTGTTGCTTGAAGATATGTTAAAATTACAGGATAACGGAAACGGTGTATTTGGGAAATTGTCTGTAAAAGAGATATATAAAGATTTCATTTCTGGATTATTGAATTGTGGCAGTATCCTTTGATTATATTCTGTTATAATTCAAATATTGATTTAGTTATCCATAACAATCTTTCGGTTTTGAATGTAGAATTTCTCTTGGCGCGTGAAATTCTCTTCCCAATAGATCAACCTAATCCTTTAGATATTTCAACTGCTGAAAAACTTGTCATTGATTCTTCACGAGAATTTTTTGACAACGCAACTTCGGGAAACATGCATTACGGATACATGAAAATGGCATATGAATGGTTAGATGTTTTTTTCTTTACACATGCAAGTTTAAAAAACTATTTTTATTATTATAGATGAAAAGTCTTAATACTTTTATTTAGTCTTCAAATTCTTCCAAAATCCGAATCCATCAAATTGGAACTTGAGTTCATAGAGGCAACGCATATTATCACTGAACGAAAGATATATTATCAACCTGGAATCCCGATACATCCACTGCAAATTCGGCTAGCTCCAAACCGTCTAGACTTGATTGCGCGATTACTAAGTACACATGAAACAGCTTATCATGATCCAGAATCGATCCTAGAGTTAGCTCGGAAGTTCGGATATCGAAATGACAAGGTTGCAGAGGTCAAAGTATTGGCAATGCTTTCGGATGCTGCATTACATAATACCGATTACGCTATTGCATATGAAAGATGCATGGATGTTGTCAAAGTAACAAAGAATATTGCTGCTACAAATACAGCAAAGTCAAATGCGAGAATGACAATTACTGAAGGTGAAGAAAAATCAGAATTGTACGAAGCCAAAGATGTGTCATGGCGAGTTTGCTATGAAGTTGGGAAGCAAGAAGGATATGCGAATATAGAAAAACGTATGACTCTTATAGGATTTGCATTAGCTTTATGCCCGACCAAACAAGCAATCAATATATTGAATTTGTGGAGAAAGCTTGAGGTCGAGTACAAGTTGATACACGCGAGTAAAGCGGCAGCATTATCACGTGATTCTACAAGAGATAATGAAAAGACATTATCACACTTGGGTATTGGTGAATCGGTGATTTTGGGTGCACCGATAATAAAGATTGACAAGTTAAAGAGTTTGGTAAGTGGCTGGTTTTGAACCAATCCATCAATCAAATAACATATGTTCAAAAAGATATTCTTATGTAATCTAATATAAAAATAATTTTGGTATTATGTATTTGGGAATTTTTATCATATAATAAAATCAATAATCTAACAAGAATTTGGTGCTTGTTTTTCAATAACACGTTTCCTGCGTGATATTTCACATACTATCTAATATCAAATCAAATAAAATCTCAAGTCTAGCTTTTTTTCCTGTCTTTGGTTAAAATATAATTAGAATAACAGTATTGCTGTTGAAAGCTTGGTAAATTAGCGTTAAATAATGTTTCTAACGGGAATACCATTTGTATTGTTATGGTACAATACAATACGGTGACCTACAAAAATAATGCTGCATCATCTAATTTTAAATTTTTAAATATAAATAACTTTTTATTGAGACATTATAAAAATATACAAATTATATGCTAAAAATATTCAAGTTTTATATTATTTATTAATATTAATTTTATTATAATTTAACTTACAATTTTTGATTAATTGAAATTTTTAACTTTTAAATGATATATAATTTTTGAACTTTTTAAATAATAATATTTAATTTAATTTTACTAATTATTGAAATATTATTATATAATATATAAAATATTTTTTATATTCTATTTTTCAATTATATTAAAAAATAAAAACAATTTTATATTTATTATTTAGAAAAAATATATTTTTTAAAAAAATATTTGTTAAATAACTTGATATTATATAAAAATCGATTATTTTTTTATTTATAAAATAACTTAAAATAATACTAAAATTGCTAGTTTTAAAAATATATACAAATTTAGTTGATAATATTTCTTTTTAAAACATTTTAAATAATCAATTCTTTCGCTTATTTTTTTAAATAGTTTTTATTTAATTTTGAAAGATCATCACAATTTCAAAAAGAGCTATATTGATTATTTTAGTATTTTTTAAGTAAAAAATAATTTAAAAGAATATGAAAATTCAAAAATCAATTTAAAATATCAATTCTAAAAAATATACAAGTAATAATAATTGCAATTTGTTTAAGAATAGATATTTTAAATAATTTATAAAATTTAATAATTTTATAATTTATTATAAATAAATTTATAATATAAAAGTTTAAAAAGCTTTTTATAGTTTAAATAAACAATAAATATTTTAAAATATTATTATAACAGATTTCTAGTTAAATATAGCAAAAATATAATAATTAAAAATAATTTAAAATTTTAAGTTACAATTATTTTTAATATATTGTTATTATTTTTATAAATTTTAAGTTATTTATATATTATTTACATATTTTAATTAATTAAAAAATGGAAGAAACTAGAAATTATAGCTAAAGATAAATAATATATTTGTATTATAACAAATTAAAATAATAATATTTAATAATTTTACTAATTTTAAGAAAATTTACTTTAAAACTTCAAAATTATATCACAAGACAATAAGTTTTTTCAAATAACTATCTTTTAAGTCAAATAATAAATGGTTTATTATAAGCAATTTATCTTTCAAAATTAAAATCAATACAAAATATAACTTGAAATATTTTATAAATTATTTCTAAAGTTTTTTCTATCTAAAAACTTATTGACTTTAAGCTAAAATATATAATAAATTTATTGTTATATAATATTATTAATTCTGTTATTAATAGTATTAACTTTATAATTTACAATTATTAATATTATTAACTTTATTAAATACAAGTATTATTAATATTCTTAATATTTTTATTAACATTTATCAATACTATTAGGCATTAATATAAATATTGATATTATTATTATTATTAATATAAATATTATTAATATTAATATAAATCAAATTTTGCTTTCCCGAGGATGATATTTATAGAGATATTTGATTATATTAATATTATTAATACAAGTTTAAAACCAATAACTATTTAAACTATAAATTTTTACTAAAATATATACTAATTATAATTAATTATCCAATAATAATACAAATAAATATAATTTAATAATATATAAAATTTCTATTATTCAATAAAATATTCATTCAAAATCATATTATAACAGAATTCTCACTATTAGAATTTTGTTCTACAAAATTATTAATTAATTACTTTATTTTTATCTTGAATCTATCACTTATATATTTGCTTATTTGTTCAATAATAATGCTAATTCAAGTTTATTAATAAAATATAATCAGAATTTTATTGAAAGTATAAATATATTCTTAATACTATATAGATTTTTTATTTAAAATTACTTGTAATAATATATTTTTTTATGATATTATATACTTCAATATGTTATTTTAATATTAAATATATTATTATTATATTTATTAATATTGTCACCGTTGTGACATGTTATATATTATTTAGATATTAGTTGACACATTATGTCATTATCAAGAAAAGCTCAACATTTATCTATATAATAGTATTTCTCTCACATGATGATAGTATTTAACAAAGAACAATGATTATTAG